CAAGTGGGATATCTTTAATGAAAGGATTTAATTAATAACTACTAACAAAGGCAAAACTGATGACAGATTTCAGACATGCCAGAATAACAATCCTTTCCAATGGACTGTTCCAATGGAAATGAAAGATATAAAATCTGTCTTTGGTATGTAACATACTTATAAAGGGAAGTAAGAGTCTCTTGCGTTCAGTAAATAGAAGGGGACAGTTCACTACTGGATTAGAGATTTAGCCCAGGATTGTAATTAATATGAAAAATGTTGTTTCTTGTTTGTGAAAAAGTAAAATATAAAAGCAAGTTTGGTAGGCAAGAATATTCACAGGTATATTTCTCTAAAAAAAATGGACAGAGGTGAACAGATCAGGTTTTATACTGTATCTTAAGGTCCTGCACTGGCTAGTATGTTCTTACTACTGTACTTGGTTTAAAACATTCTTTAAAAGTAGAGCAAAAGGGAATTAATTACTCTAAGCTCCTGAAGCAAGCTGGTATATAAAACACTATTTCACCAAAGTAATAGTGAAATGTGTGTAACTGTAAAAGTTAAAAGACCTTGACTAAAAAAAAAATGCACATCCATGTAATTCATAAACCTCTGAACTGAGATGCCCCTATATTAGTCAAAAATACATGCAAATTAGAAAGAAAAGAGAAGATATTTCTGTTATGTAGATACATGGGAACAAAATGGTGTTTTAAAGGCCAATAGATGCAGGGAAGCAAGATTCTATGATGAACTGAATCTTTGAATCTGAAAAAAAGCCTTTATTCATAAAGTATACATTGAAATCTAATCTCAATTAATTTAAAAAAGGAACGATTAAAATCCAGCCTCATCGGACTTCTTTGATTTAGTTGCTAGTAGCCAATTGATCTTCAAAGAAGCCAGGGTATCAGCTTCAACAACATCGATGGATAGATGCTTCCAGAACCCTTTGTGGAAAAGGTTGCCTTCTCAATTCCATTCTAAATGTCCTTCCCTGTAGTTTTCACTTGTGTCCTCTGGTTTATGTTTCACTGTTGGCTATCCAGAGGGTGGAAATTTATAACAATTTTGGTCTTAGTACAAAGCCAATGTCTTCCTGAAAGTATTACAGTACATCCTTTGGTGAAAAAGAAATGACTTGTTTCTAGCCAATCTGCATGTGCAATACATTTACAAAGTCTGAATTTGCTATTGTGTTTGTACAACAAGCAATAGAATTACAGTACTTTTCTAAGACTAAGCAGAGGAATATAGTGTTTTATAACTCAATCCACGTACATACTGTAGGACTGAAACATACAGTAGTTCTTTTTCAGATTTGCAATAGCATAAGCCAGTGGTCAATGTTGTAACAGAGGATGTAAGGCATGAACATTTATTCTTTTGTAAGACAGGAAAGATCTGACACATTGAACTGGAAAGACAGTCAAGGGCGGATAAGCACAAATTCCTGCTGATTGAAAGCTACTGACTGTGTGTCACTATTACCTGGCTGACCGCTTGATTAAGATCTCACAAAACCAGCACTGCACTTATGATGGGGAGTCTTGGTACAGACTCAGGTACCACAAGAATAAAAGAGAAAAACATTTGATAACATGCTGAAAGAGTATCCATGAATAACTGACAGAGGACTTAAGCACGCCCAGCATGCTCCCGGTAGCCTTTAACCTATTTTCTTTGATCTAGATCTCACTGACATTAGAAACTCTTTTCATAGATAGCTCAAAAGTGCTTTTTATTTAGTTTTTAAAAATTATTAGTAACTACCTGCTTCCCTGGTCTCTTTTACCAGAATTCCTGAGGAAAAAAAAGCTTTGCTTTCTAGTCTAGCTGATAGGAAGTCACATGTGGCAGACCCTTGGCAAGGACTTGGTAAGTGAAAAATAAACATCCTCTGTGAGCACAACAAAATCTTTTTCATTAGAATGTTAAAGCTAATGTTGTACTGTACATTAGATCAGATTAATGGGACAACTTCTCCAGAAATTAAAGCAACAACAAAGCTACCACTGCACTGTCTGCAGATTAGTTTTAAAATGAACTTTATTGGTGGCGTTTTTATAGAACCGGTGAAGAGAAAGGCACGTGTCACATTTGCTTACAGGAGACCTACGCTTATGTTTCTTTCTGATTGAAACACAACTACTGACAGATTTGTAACATACTGTATTCACTTTTCACTTTTTTCATCATACAGCTGGTTTGCCTTTTCTCAGAATTAAATGATGAAAAAAGCTTGTTAAGCAACATCAGGGCTGGAAAGCTACTTAAACAGACCCAGCAGAGGGATGTCCTATTTATATATTTGTATGAAAGGATTTGCATTGATGTCCCCCTGCCCTTTGTTTCTAGAGGTGTAATTGACAACAAGGAACAAAAATAGTGGAGCCCATTAGAAGTTTTGGAATAGAAGGATCAGACTCAGTAAATTATTAAATGTATTGGTTTGAAAAAAAAACAAACAATTCAGCCTTTTTCACATGGACAGAGGGACACAAACTAGTATTTTTGTCACATTAATATTTCCTCAGGAATGTTTTATTCTGTCCTGTAACCCCCTGTTCTTATACCAGAAAAAAAAATAAGCTACAAAACTTAACTCCCATCAGTCATGTTTGTCAGTGACTGAGCCAAGCTTTCAAAACCAGGATTTCCTGCACATAAAGGCCTTAACACTTTACCTGGAGCAAACAAAACTTAGAAGCATTACACAGATAATTACAAGCTAAAAAACATTTTTTGATCAATTAAATACTCTATATTTACTTTTTACTCAATTATTGCCAAGTACCCAATGCTAATTTATTTTTACACAGCTCTCCGAACACCTTTCATCCATAGTAAATTATCAAGATATGTTTTGCGAGACAATTTTCTAAGATATTTAAAAAGGAAATCACACAGAGAGGGGTCTGGATCAATGAGCTCTTGTTGTTCATTGATTTTTCTTATATACATATCTAAAGGCTTAGCTACAGTTTCAATATTGTTTTAGGTAGCATGCTGTTTATCATGAACTTCAGGAAGAGAAATGGTTTCTTGGAAATACCAGTAACTACCACTCTGACAAAAAAGGGTACTATTTGACTTTTTTCTACCCCAAGTTTCAGTTCTACAATGGTTTTTGATATATATACAGGTATATGATTCTATGAGATGCTGCTGCTGAACAATCTTAAATGTAGAGAAATCATCAGTACACTGAGTGTTTTTACCTTACCACCAGTGCATTTCACTGCACTTCGAAAAATGACTCATTATGCTCACTGTCAAAAGGCACAGGTACTGTACCATTTCCAGAAATGAATAAATGAAAACAAAAACTTTAGGACGGAGTGCATTGCTTAGTTGGCTTGGTGTTTCAATATTTTGTGATTTGTCGAGGGGAGCTGTTCTGCACGTAACTCCCTATCAGCAAATGCTGTCTTGAATGATCACTGAGTAATCTCACACTTTGCGTGTTAAACAACGTTGTGCACAGCAGATGTTTTATCCTGTGGTTATAGTAAATACAGAGTATATGAGCTGGTGGCCAACAACATCACTGCGCAAACCTTCAGTAAAAAGAGGATAAGCTATTGTTCTGTCTTCCACTTATGTTCCTGTTTATATGGGGCTCCAGGGGAGAGAGGGGAAAGAGGTAAGGAGAAAGGGAAACCAGGCTGTCTGCATCTTGTTTCATACACTGTGGCTTTAAAAGACAGTAAATATGCTTGAGCAGAACCTTTGCACACTCACGTTAAATAGCATACAAAGCAACACATCATGACAGAAATGCTTAAAACTAGGATTCGACGATTGAATGATTACGAAAATTTTGTATGACACACTGAAACTCCATTACCTTTACTACTGTATAAGCAGCTAAAAAGCTTCCCTATTGAACTACATTGTGTTCTTTTAAACAAGTAGTCTGATATCCTTGAATTGTGTGCTCAATACTTTCATTTATGCTGTGTAAGAAAGCTTTTTATATTCAATTGTCCTTTTAAGGGATATTTTATTTACCAAAGTACTTTTGAATACTTACTTTCCATGAACAATGTGTCCCTGTGTTATTATTGAGAATGTGTGCACTGCTTTTGAAATGATAAGGTGCATGGTCATGTAACACGATAATTACCGATAACAATGTCAGCTCAAATTCCAAAATAAAATATTTTAAAAATGCCTGGGAAAAGAACTGTGCTCCCCCATTCAAAATACATTGAATGCAAAAACCCAAAAAAAGCCTGAAACTTGCAATGTACTGTAGATGAAATTGTGATCTATTACTCTTTTGATCCAGATACATATGATTTGTTTTACAGCAAATGTTTTAGCAGCGGCTACCTCTATGTACTTATCTTTTTTGGTTCATTCTGTCATTCAGATTACAGTCACCAGGTATTTGCAGTTAACACAACCCTCTTCTGTTAAATCTGCCTTTGTCTCAAGTGGACTTAGACCACAAAGCAAACAAAATGAACAGATGTTATCTGCAAATTGCGTTATAGACAAAAACATCTTCTTATGCCACTGCTGCTTTGTGTGAGGCCTTGAAGATGCAACACCAAGTTCAACGTTCATAAACATGATGACCCCACCCAAAAGTGTTAAAAGTATCTTTACTGAAACCACAAATGGTTTTACCAGAAGTCAAATAACACATTTAAATACACCTATATTTGTTTAGAGCCTGGGAAAGAAAGTTTGCACATAAGGGCATTTAAAAAAAACATCAAGATAACAGAAATTAAAACATCTACAATAAGAAATATAGAAATGTAACAATGATGATTATATTAAGTTTAACATGAAAGAGGAAACTACAAATTAATATGCATTGCCTTACTTCTCCAGAATTGAAACTACTTTACTTCTGAATTTGCAGCAACAAAACAAAATGATATTGTAAATCATAACAACAAACTGGAATTTAACTTGAAACAAGCAACTATTACTGTACCTAGACTTTCAAAGACTACAGTGAAGGAAGAAACATGATCTAGCTGTAAAATAGGGGAACAAACCTTGTACACTTGCCCATATGTTCCATTTCCAACGACTTCAACCAGCTCAAATATTCCAGCAGGATCCTAAAGAAGAAGAAAAAGACAGATCCCGAATAAGACACAGGAGAGATTAAACTTTTTTTTACCAACCAATGGGCCTCTTTCTATCTGGCTCTTCGATTTTAACATAACATCTGGCTTAAATATAATTATTAAAAATAATGCTGTTATTAATTACAAAATATTGAATCCAGATCCACACGTCAGCAGATCCATCATGGAAGAAGGATGATTTTAAACACTACTTCTTCCCTTAGTGAAATGTTTCTGGACATTCTGTGAAGACCTCTGGCTGACAACCAGCTGTCTCCACACAACCTATGTGATTTCAGAAGTTCAACATTTTAAGACATACTGTAGACTGCAGTAGTGTCCAACAAACATATTTTATGTTTGGTACATCTTCCTCTTTAGCTTACTTTTTGAAAATCATTCTCTTTACTTATCCTCCTCGATCTATTCATTCTTGTAGTGACATTTTAGCTTTGGTAGAGAAAAAAAAAACTGCACAATAGTCTCAAATTCTTGAATCCCAGCTGAATATAAATTCTACCCTTAGTCTTTATGCTTAATTAAAGACTCCCTAATAATTAGCAGCACCCAATTTCTGAAGCATCTTTGACAGCTAAGAGACAGAAAGGTATTTTCAGCGCTGCAACCACAGTAGGGACCTCTGTGGGTTTAAAGTGCTCGTTGTCTGGGCTTGGGTACTGAACAGAATTTTACTGAACAGTATTTTCATAACATCTCCTGAACATTAACGCCCACTCTGCACTTTTTTAAAACAGTATCTGGATCGATCAAATTAGTCAAATAGTTAAACCAGATTATTTAACAACTTGTGCTCCAAAGAAAAGCCAAAACTGAACTTAGTGAAGAACCGTCAATGCATACCATACTTCAGAGTACAACTGTCATTCGCAATCAAGAACCAGCCTTTCTCGTTATTTTTGCGAAAACATTAACTGATAACACACGTATTTAAATGGTTCATTATCGTGACAAAAGAAGAATGGACAACTCTAGGTCCTGTTCCCGCAGCTGACACAAAATTTGAAGGTGTGATTCATGTGTTATGGACAAGAGATAACATTACTGAAACAACGTTTACAAAGACGTCTGCTTATAGATCTCAAACAATCCATCCAGTACTCACCCTCAGAGAGGAAAGATCTATTTTATCCAGACTTTTAGCGGTGCAATCTTTTGCCATTTTAGTGCTTCGATGACTGTCGTTTTAAGAACAAAATATAAAACAAAATGAAAGTTTTGCAAAAGTTAGCGGTTTGATAGCGTGTCACTCCATGGCTGCTGCAGCTGGTCTGTGCGACAAACACAGGAAACTTCGCATCCAGTTAAACCCGGAAAACGCGGAGGAAACGCACAAAAGTTGCCCGCCCCCCTTAAGAAAATAAAATTTCTAAGTGAGACACTTCATATTTCATATATTCGCACATGTGCGCAAAGACACTGATTTTCATGTGTTCTCAAACTGCAGTACTTGTATAGTAGCTCTGGTCACAGCGAAGACCGCTGCTTTACCTTAATAAAATGCAATTGTAGCCTAGGGATGAATGTAAGGAACAACCACAAACTTTAATCTATGCACAAATGACATTATTATCATTTCTACATGCATCTTTTAATTGTGATGACTAAATATATTTATTTTTTTTAAATATAAAGCATATATCTGCGTACATATAATTATCAAAAAGCACTTTATCCTGGAAGTAGTTGCTCAGAAGATTTGCTTTTATGCATAGAACAAGATGATTACCTGATAGCAAGAATATTAACATGTTTAACACTCCTAGTGCTGGAAATGTTCTCAAAAGTATTATATTAATTATTTGATGAGTAATTATGGATATATATGAATAATATTAAATTTAAAGAAATTAAAACTTTGTGAATGAGAATCTCCCCTAGTTACTAATTAAAAAAAATTATAATAGTATATTTAAAAAAATCTGTAATGAAAAATGAAAAAGAAGAGAGGCTTGGATAATGTATTACCATAGGGTAATATTACACTGGAATGAATAATTCTAATATAAAATGCTCAGAACACTTTTTTTTTTCTCAGATGGTATTGGTTGGCACAGTGGTGCAATAGTTAAACCTCCTACTGGTCCTGCCCTCCAGAGCCGATTTCAATTTTCTCCCCTCAAACATTTTGTTATACTGTATCTCTGCAACCAAACACAGCAAAGGCCTGCTTCAGGTCTCAAAGTGATGCTAATATTGCTTCTTCACAGAGCTGGGGCCCTAAGTTCAATTCCTAGGGTGCTATCTGCATGGAGTTTATATGTTCTCCCATGTTTGTGTGGATTTCCTCCAGGTATTCTGGTTTCCTCCCACTATGTAAAGACACACTGGTAGGTTATTTAAAAAAAAATGGCCCTGGTGTGTGTGTGTCTTTGTCTTGGTGTACCCTACAATGAACTGGCGTCCCATCCAGGGTGTATCCTGCATTGCGCCTGTTGCTTGCTGGGATAGGCTCTGGATCCACTTCAACCATGTTCATGGACAGATGCTATTGTATCTACTGTTAAGCCTACATCTGGCATAGTATACTAGACTAATTTGCATGGAAACTATATAGGCTAAGTACTACACTGAAACCTTCAAAACAGTCCCTTGACAATGAATAAGTGTGGTGCTGCATTGTGTTTAACATATAACAGGATTTACATGAATGTGAACTAGTGTACTTGTCTCTAACGTTTCTCAGGTCAATCAGTTGCTTATGTAGTTAATTTCCATAAGTGTTGGTCTAACAATTCTCTTTTTCCAGTCTCCCTGCCGAAAGCCCTAGAAGTCCTGAACCCATGTGAGTGAACCCCTGAATATCCCAGCTATTTAAAGACACATGTCATTTCCAAAACAAACTGGGACAGGGGCAAAAAATAGAGCGAATGAACAAGCTAAGCACAGTTCGGACTATTACATAATTATAAATTCATTATACAGTATAAGGCAAAGTTGAGAAAGCACCATTAATGACCTAGTTTCATTAGGTGTTATTATACAGTATATACATAGATCATGACAACAATGGGTTGCTGCTGTAAGTAGAAACTAATAACATTCAACATTTTTATTTATCATAACCCTTCCTGTTTCTCTCCAATAGTTTTTAGAAGTTATGCTGAGGCTGCAAACTCCAATTTAATTAACCAGTTGCACGTGGTTGGCATAGAGCAAATTAAGACAAAAATGATAGTGGTTCATTATGAAATAACTATGTAAAGGGGATGTGTTTATGGGGTAGAAAATAGTCAGGGTTCAAATACTAGCTACAGTAGGCCAGTTGTGCTTTAAACAATTATTATAACAGCCTGCCTAAGCCCAAGTTGAGCTTTTCAATGGCGTTCCAGATGTGCCTATGGCCACAAAGTTTCTCAGTGTTTATGGGTAAATTGTAATAAAAGGGTATATACTGTAAAACTAAGGAGATCATTTAATTGATGACAATTAACATGGTAATTGATTTAAGTTACAAAACTTCCAGGCCATCTATGCATCTGGTATGCAAGTTTTGTAATTCTTATTTCAATAGGTTTCAATTTATTGGACTTTTCAAGTGATGAGGAATGGTTGCACGGTTAATTTTGCCTGCATGGATTCATTCAAATGGAAACACAAATAAATAAACCCTCTTTCTTGAATAGAAACCATGTACTAAATCTCCTACTTGAAATGGTAGATACTGTATATAGAAGGATTACAAGGATTTCCAGGTGGAGAAGTAGACCCAAGGCACACAAGACAGACAAAAGGTTGCCACATGTTGAAAAGGGCAGGTTATATTTCATGCAGACATTTTATTGGCTTGTGTTATGTTACAATTTGCATTTAAACAACATTGCCAGTGTAAATACATTATTGTGAAATAACACTTATGAAAAAAAAACTGTGCAAAGTTTCATTGCTTCTCCGAACTGCACAAATACTGTAGTCCATCAATCAAGCAAGCATACACCAAAAACTTGGGTCACCAGAATCCTCAGTCAGTAGGAAAGATGTTTAAAACAATATTTTTAGGATGTCTTGAAAAAGTTAGTTTTTTTTTTCAGTACCAGCATGCCAGATGGCACACATTTGATAGAATACCAGGACAAGTTAAACCTACAAGTACTGCTAAGGAAGAAATACTGTATGAAGAAAAAACAAATAAATGTAAGGCCAGCTCAACTGAAGGATTACAGTATATAGATATAAAGGTAAAACCCATCTTCCTTAAATACAAAAATAGTTATTTTCCAAAAATCTCTAGAACTACATTGCTGAAAGGTAACAAGGTACCATAAAACACGAAAATGGTATTTTCTTTGTACTGTACTTTAAAATCAAAAGAATGTGATTATCATTGCACTTGCAAGAATTAAATATGAAGGAATGAACAAGAACATTGTGGGTTTTTTTTTCATTTATGTCAAAAACATATTGCTAACTTGTTTCCACCTATTGCTGCAGTTTGTTAATGTAAGATGTAAGATTCATTATGCCATATTATCTTATGAAACACTTTGCTTTGAAAATATTAACTTCTAATCAGAACAGATGGACTTAAAATAAACTACGGTTTAAATATGATGGTAATTTAATTTTTATGAGTAAAAATGACTTCTTAGGTAGACAAAAACATTTTTGTGAACTACTAGTTAAATGTTTCATAAAACATTTCTGGATTTAATTTAGCTCCATCTTCACAGATTCTCAAAATGTCAGCAAATATAGTATGTCTAGTTTAGAAGCTTACTTAGTGTTGAAGATTGACCTCTTGATAGCTACTTGAAGGATATACTTATATTCCTGATGCGAGGAATGGTTGTTGTAGGTCTAATTAGGACATCTAAGAATGTTTTTTAAAAAGAATGTTCCAATTATCAGAGATTTGAGTTTGCTTTCAAGGATCATGTTGTTTGAAGTCTGAATAAGGTGTAGCATACTCAGTTAAACTGCAGTCATTTTGACTAAAATGTATGTAAACAAATACAGTAGACATGACTTTAGCATCACACATACAATAGTTATTGTGAACTTGATTAATCTGTACTATTTGATATGTGTACAGTACATACAGGTACTAGATGAACAGGAGGTTTAAATAAAAAAATAAAAGAAAATGTTTTTTTTTATTGGAGGCTACTTTACAGAATTCTATGAAAAATATTATGAAAAAAAGAATCAGCAATCTGATTAGTGTAAATTTCTATGTATTTTATGATTTAATATTTTAACTTATAGATGATGCTTTTTATGTATAGACTTCTGCAACTGAAGTCTAGACCATGCTGTCTCTGTGAAAGCAAATTTGCCAGACCATTTCAACTTATACTTCTTGTAAAAACTGGAAATGTTTTCCCAAAATGAAAGAGAAACAGTAAAACATGCCACTAAATGCATCCTTCTTTTGGATATTGCTTGTACAAACCATATTTTGTATTTCAGTGCTAAATGTGTTTTATACTGTACATCATGATGGAAACTGGTAAGTGCAAGATTCAGTAAATAAAAGCTTTAAAAAAGCTGCTTCAGAAACATTTATCATACTTTGTCTGATAAACTGTCTTTATATTCTTCATACAACTGCATGGTAGGCAAGGTTTTCAAGCCAATTGATACTTAGATTTTAAAACACATTCTTTTTCTCCTTTTGTTATTAACTATCTCTAGAATGATGTAGTGATTAACTGTTAATTCATCAAAAACCTTTCTCGATAGACAAGAAGTAAATTATCACATGGTCTCAATTTATTGTCTGCATTTTCTTGACTGCAACATACCAGTGTCGCAAATACAACTGGATTTCTAAAGAGAGCATTGCAACACTATCTTTAATTTTTAATTTAACTCTCAAGTTAATGCTATGTGGTCCTTTTTGGCATCTTCAGGGGAGCATTTAACAGTTTCCTGTTGTGCATTAAGCTACAGGTTACAATTACAGAGAAGCCAAACATATGACATTATAGAGGAATTCCAAGGGCCTAAATTTGTTTTACATAAAATATAATAAACAAATAATTCAGTTTACTGTATAAGACTGAAAAAGAAAACACACAAAATTATGGAACTTCATGAACTACTGGCAGCAGAAAGATCTGCATACATAATTAGAAAAATGTACTGTAGGTTATTGATTGGATAAACAATATTTATTTATCAGATCTATGCAGTTTTTTGTTAACAAAACTCAATATTCCAAAAGATATTTTAGAAGTTAAAAACACATTAAAAAGGAACGAGTACAAAGATTCGAAGTTATTTTTTAAAAAAGTAATGTTTCTGAAATTGTATTTATAGTCATTAGAATATAGTAATAAGGTCTTCACTTCAAGGATCATTGATATAGTTATTCCAAGTATAGTTAAAGAGTTAAGAGGATTCAACAAACATACTTTTTCAAATCCTTTTTGTTTTTTTGCACACTCTCTGCCTTTATTTCTATTTATGATCTTCAGGTAAACAAATTACAGTTCTAAACAAGATGTTATCTTGCTTCCAAGTTCATATTGCTTGTCGAATGTTGACCTGAACATGCATTAATAACCATTAGAGAAAATACTAAATCAAATGACATTTCTATTAGTTTTGAACAATATAGTACACATTTTATAACATTTTGTTTGACAATTTATTTTTTTGTCCAGTCACAATTTTTCGACATGAATAAAAATCGCATTTTATTTGTTTCTGTAAGAACTTGATTCGAAGTCAAGTGCAAAATATAGAGAAGTAAACAGTCATTCGGGTACAGGTAATGGACAAAAAAATAGAAACGCCTACTGTATGTACAGTAAAGTCACTTAACAGGGTTTTGGGTCACCACAAGCATCCAATATGGTCTACAGTAGTTCAGGTGGGTAGCTGCGTCAGCAAGCATAGGCTGCAAAGGAACAAGTAATAGGTTTATTCCATACTGAAGAAATAAAGAAGAAAGAAAACACAACATTTCAGCTGTAGGGCTCCACAGCCGAAACGTTGTGTTTCTTCTCTTTTCAGCATGGAATAAACCTATTACTTGTTCCAATATGGTCTACTGTATATGTGCTTTGGCATAGCGCCTGGAATTCTGTAAATGAGATGTGATATCATTATTCCATGAGAAATTAAATTAATTCATGCCTAGTTGAGGTGAAAAACAATGTTCTGGATATCATTCCAGGATATCCCATAAATGCTCAGTTGGGTTCAGATGACCAAGAAGGCCATCATACTGTATAACATGGATAACATCATTGGGAAAACACTGCTCGTCCCCAGTTGAAATTTTAAGTTATCCGAGCTGCAGCTGATTTCCAGTTTTGCCTTGCACTGTGAACTAATGCAAGAATAGCACAATCCTCGCGTATGTGTGCCTGCCTACTGATAATGTCATTCCCTCGGAGTTCTATGATGTCATCACCTTAGACGCTGTTGAACAAGCTCAGCTGCCTTGATCACTCCTTGAAGCTCCTGCCACATGCACCCCAACATCCTCTCTTTTAAAACCACTGTGGTCGCCTTTTGCAGCCATGCAAGCCACAGTTATAGGCATCCAAGACTGACCAGCATTTTTACAGTATATACAGTATGACCCTAAGGTGCTAGAATGTTATTTCCTTTAACTAATGTTTAAGCTCCCACCTGTGTGGAAGCCCTTGTTTTCAAGCTTCTTGTTGTCCCTCATTTACCAGGTGTTTCCATTTTTCTGTCCACTACCTGTACCTACATAATGTAGGAATGGAAGCCCTGTAAAGACCTAGGATAAAGAAACTGCAGTAAACACTAGGTGGTGCTCTTTCCTATGATTACTGAATACACATTTGCTGTTGTATTAACTCTTAATGCCTCGAGGAATGAAGGCAATATCGGGAGGATAAAGTCTTGATTCAGCCTTAGGAAACTCAAAGTCTTTTATAAAACAAACATAAAACCTAACTGCAAAACACGAATTTTAATCTACTTCAACTTACAAATAATTGGAAGAAAGAATACTTCAGCATTAGACATTATATAAATGAAAAAATACTGAAAATCTGACATGGAGAAAAAGAGTGAGAAACACAATTTAGAAACACTGCTGTAAAATAAAAATGAGCAGAAGGAAACATTTTTCTTCATGTGACAAACATATCAGTTTTTCTCAGTCGTTTCAAATGAAGCTAAGTTGTTTTTTTATGGTTCATTACCAAATTGTACCTTTCCTTATTGTACCTTTAATTGTACTGGACACTTTATGATCTGGGGTAAATAGCTGGGGACAGTTCTTCTCTTAAGCATTATGTGTGAAAACACAATGAGAGAGATACATTTGTAAAAACAGTTAAAATGTAAACTCAGATCAGAAGAAAATCAAATCCCCAAAAAGTCTGGCTCCTTTTTACTACGTCTTGAATAAACAATACTCATACAGTCCAACAAATACAGTTCAAATTAGGAGAAACAGCGGGATAAATATCTTTCCAGTCTTCTGAACCACTTTATTCCTAGCGGAGGAATTGAAGTGAAAGATTTACACCATTTGATGCACTGGAATGCATGACAATAACAAATCTATTAACAAATAAATTACAAATAACAAATAAATAACACTAAATGAAAACAAAAACAAACCAAAAAATAAATGTATCGCAGTATGTTGGTTTGTACTATTAGAATTGTATATAGAATCTGATTGAAAACAAAGCCATTATTATATAAACTCCTGACATATTCCATGTACAGATTAGGTTTAATCTACTGCTGTTTCACCACAGATGATCCATTGTCTTTATGGATTTCCTGAAGTGTGGATAAATGTTTCCACCTGGCTTCATATGAGCAAATTGGTACCTAAACACCTGGAAATCTTCAAGGCAGTGTTTGAAAAGAACATGAGGCAAAGTGTACCAGATGATACAAATCAGTCAATTTTGTCCATACTGTATATCTTATCCACAGAATACACCATAAAAACTGGAAACTTCCTTGAATAATTCAGGCTAAAATTTGATTGGTCTTTAGAGATATGAGCCATCAAAAACAGCACAAAAAGTCACAGAAGTCTTAGGAAACCATGAATAGCATCAAAAGTCAAACAATTTGTTAAACTGAATCAGCTTCAAACAATGAAAATCTCTTTTTGCAAATTGTGTTATGGTTTATTTACTTAAATAAAACTTTATTTTTAAAGCTCACAAGAACCCGTGCAGCCCCTCTTTACAAATTGTGCCATAAAGACAGTGAATACCTCCCCCTACAAAATCCCTTCTAAGAAACCTTTTAATGTGGGTAGATACACACACACACTCACGCACGCACACAAATAAAAGAAAACAACTAATATTAAATCAAACAGTCTATACTGTTATGTCTAAAAGATATGAAAACTGTACATAACAACACCTTGAACGTTTAACACAAGGCTGTGAATCTCTTTTCCCCAAAAAGGAGAAATTCAAGTAGGAAAGTTATTTCTGGAGCTACCCTCATTTTTTTTTATGCCCGAACAAAATTTCAAAAATGAACAAACAAGAAAAAAAGTCAGAAATTGTTCCTTGTGTTCATTGTAAGTCAAATCTGTGTTCATTTTAATGATTCTTCATGCAGATATAAAAGGAAGCCATGGAGGCTATTTATAGCAGTGCACTCTACCAAATATCACTTGTAAGTTCCCTTGCAGATAGTGGAACAAATGTACTGTTCAAGTGGATTTCTGGCTTCTTTTTACCAGAGTTATTATGTGCTACCTGCCCATTGAGGACTGTCATTGGAATATTACAATACATATGCCTGTTTCCCATGGCCGTGATTGGTACAGGGGATGAAGATAACTCATACTCATAATCTCTGCAGTAATGTCTCATCTGTGGGTGGTTTGTCTGGTTAAAGTCAGGGATCTCCATGTGGGCGGGGGCCAGCGAGGCAGATGTGGTCGTCATCGCAATGGTGGAAACTGTTTGGAGGTCTCCAAAGAGGCCTTGCTCTCCAGAGTCCAAGACCTGTCGATGGGAAAGTGTCTCCTTTTTCTTGGCAGGCATTTCATACAGTATCTGCTTCCAGAATTTGGATTTGAGCTGGTTACTATTAGGACCCTTCCACTTGACCACTGAGAGCACTTTAATGGAGTGCTTTAAGGCCTCCACCTCCTGGTAGTTCATGACTCCCTTGAGATCAGTACATTCAATCATGATGACTTTGATTTCCCCAGTCACCAACATGCTGTGGAGTCTATTTTCCAACTGAAAGATACTCCATCCTCGCTTGGCAACAAACTCTGGTGTTAGGACAATGATAAGTCTCCTGCTCTGCTCCACACTCCTTGCAAGATCTTCAATATAAACTGAAAAGCAAATGGAGAAAGGGAATCAATCACCAAAGTGGTTATTTTTCCACCTAAGACTGATTCTAAACTCAGTGTGATGATAGAGAGAAAGTTTTAACAACTTTTGACTTGGCCTCTTTGCATCCTGTACTATTCATGCACAGATGTATGGGATGTCAATGGTCATGAATTCACAACACAGACATGTATATGCCATCTGTTACCAAATAAAAAACAAACCTTTCTCCATTAAAAAAAAAATCTAAATATTTTATCTTGCTGTTAACAGATAAGTACAAAAGCCAAAATAGCAAATAATATACAGTAAATTTAAAACACCACATACATTCCCATGGGCTATACAGTAAGTACATCCAATCAACCTTCTTGAACTGAACGTTTCATGGTCACAGTTTTCTTTAATGAATCAATAATGAAATTTTTATCTAAACTGACATAAACTAGAACTGGAGTAATCGGAGTATAAAAAGCTTCCCAGCCATGGTTTTAAAGCTGATTCCCAATTTATCTAATTCTGATTGACTACTTTTAAGAAATGGCTCAATGAGATCCTTGAATCAATTAACCACTAACTATCAAACAGGCTAGATGGGACAAAAGGCTTCCTCTCTTTTCTAACCTTTCTTATGTTCTTATTAGGTGCCCTGTTGAAGGGTACAACAAAAGTGGCAACCTCACAGTTCTGAATTCAGAGCCCAAAACCATACCTCCACATTGCTGTGTCTTTAAACACTAACCCTTATTCCTAAAAACCATATGGAACACTACACTACAACAGGATTACAATAATATCACTTTTGTGTACCCTAGAAGAATGTTTTCTAATCAAAGTTTACTTAATTATTCTGAGATTAATAAACTGCATCATGTTTATCATGTTTCCTAAGATATCATAAGGAAAAAAAAAAGTTTTAAGACATATCTGATATTTCATTGAGTTACTTCATTACTTCCAACCTACATCATAAGGAACTAAAAAACTCAATATCAGGCACCATAAGGATTAGGATAATATCTTTGCCTCCAAAAGTTGAAGTCCACAGAAAATGTATTATTACATATCAATGAAAACATTGTCATATTTTCTAGAACATTACCACAGCTGTCTTAGCCTGCTTAATTAAACAGTATGCATTCTGCATTGGGACCAAAATTTTCTTGGTTTCTAGGAATTAGATTAATTAGGAAACAAAAGCATTTTGAGCTGCTGAATGTTAAACAGTGACTTGATCTCTAGAGAAGTAACTGTTGTTTAAACAAATACAGCAGAATGTTAACCATGTTATGCATTGCAGGTTGTATAAGTTAAACAAAAAAACAACAGTTCTGGGTGATGAACAAAAGGAATATTTTGTGTTTCATGATGCCCCATTTAGACCAGATGTGCCTATGGACACTTATTCATGTTTCTGTAGCATCTTCTGCCATCCTGGAAGAGGGTAGGTCTTATCAGATTTTCTTAAGTATGATTTTTTATCATGATTCGATTCTCAAGTTAATGTCCTTCCTATTTCCAACTCCATACTGTACCAACAACTGAAAATTAACTAGGACATCAGTTACAGTGCCTTGCAAAAGAATGCAGACCCTTGCATAGTTTTCACATTTTGTTGCTTTAAAACTTGCAGTCATGAGCCTCAATTAACATTTTTATATTACACCTACTCTACACATTCAAAGCAAAAATAAAAGAAAGTAAATAGAGAATATGAAAGAAGAATGAAAAAGTCATGACTGAATATGAATTCAAAACCTTTGCTGTGTCAAACCTACATTAACTTAAGTGCTCAAGATTACATTAATAAGCCACACAATTAGCTGGGTGTTCTGTTCCTGTGAACAATAAAAGGGTTCACACGATTTCAGAATAAATCCATCTTTCTCTATAAGGTCATCCAGTTATTGATTTTCAAAAAAAGATACAAACATGAAGACTAAGGAGCTTTCAGAACAACTCAGGTATAAAGTTGAAGAAAGGCACAGATTGAGAGAAGGGTATAAAACATTTCAAAGACATTGAACATCCCTGCATGGCAGAGTTGATCATCAAGAAGTGGAAGGTGTGTTATAGTATTCACACACTGCCTAGATCAGACTGTCCCTTCTAACTGAGTAGCTAGAAATGGAGAGGAGAGATTCCACTGTGAGGTTAACCTGACTACAGAGTTAAATGGAGAGATAGGAGAAAATGTCCATGGGTTCAAGCTGGCCAATATGGCAGAATGGCAAGCCACCCCTGAAAATAGACGTCCCGAATCCCGCTTGGAGTTTGCAACAAAACATTTAAGTGGTACTGAAAGCACTGAAAACAAACAAGAAAAATGTGACAAAATTAGTTTTGTGGTCAAACCAAACAAAATCACAACATTTTGTTCTAAATGCAAAATTTTACATCTAGTGCAAAGAACACAGCACATTGCCCAGTCAGCACCACCCCTACTGTTAGCACGATGGTGGCAGCATTATGTTATGGGGCTGCTTCTCACCAGCAGGGACTAAGAAGCTTGTCAAGACTGAGGGGGAAAATGGATGGAGCAGAGTGCAGGCAAATCAGAGGAAAACCTGCTACAGTCTCCTAAAGACCTAAAACTGGGACGGAAATTCACCTTTCTGGATGACGGTGATCCAAAGCACCAAGGTCAAAGCTACACTGGAGGGGCTTAAGAATAAAAAAAAACAAGTGTCCTTGAGTAAAAAGTCCTGATTTTGAATCCTATTTAGAATCTGTGGAAAGACATGAAAACTGCCGTCCATACATGGTCCCCAAGTAACACGAGAGAGCTCTCCTTGTCATAGGGCTAAGAGGATACAACATGCCAAACTGATTTTCTCATTTTAATCTCATTTTACTAAAAGGCATCATGTTACAATTAAGATTGTTGATGAAAATACTAAAAACCATCAAGTATTAAAGAGTTTCAGTTAAGGCACATTAGGATTAAAAAGAGTTTATGTCACACGTTTGTACTGTACTGTACAAAACGAGCAATTATCATACATTTCTCTGTTCTTAAAAGTCCTTATGTATGACTGTTATATTATTGTTAATAGAGTGTTTATTTAAGAATTAAATTGAGTAATGCTGAAGCTTTTAAGAGCCTATAAAGAATTAATAGATTTTCCCAAAGGCAGATTTTATTACATTGTCTGTATCCTAACTGTGAATTAACACCGATTTATGACACAGTAGTATTCCACTTTCAATTTACATTTGTATGATAATCTAATTTTCAATGTACTTTCTCCCCCTGAAACGTGATGAGCACAAGACGGAGACGGAATCTTCAAGAACAATGGGAAAAGAAGTCGCTGTGTTACAAAGTGTGTTCAAATGTTTCCAATGTAATTGTGGACAAAATGATTTTAAATCAAGTAAAGAAGGAAACTCTATCTCGCTTCTGTTTATTTAATGAATATAATGGCTAAGTACGTTAGCCAGAGGTATTATTTAAAAGTTTGTTTACAGTATGAGGCTCATGAAATGCAAGCCTAAGAGGTTGCCTTTTACCCATTTCTTTGCTGCTCTGTAGTTTTAAAAAAAACAAAAACAATTGTGACTGTGATTTGACTTCATATCAGAATCCCTGAAGTATTATTCTATCTTTGCAGGTATATGAAGCAATAGTATGTGTTTCGGCCTGTACAAAAAATATTCTACAAGTGTGCATTTGATCATAGGTTTGTGAACACATACTGTATACTATATACTGTACATATTCTATAGATAAATAAGGAGAGAGATTATTTAATGTTTTCTTCATGTTCCTTAGCTCCTACAAAATTAATGATGGAAGAACGACAACACATTGCAATTTCATGGTCAATTTGCAGTGCATAAATAACACAATTTGTACAAGCAACACTGCGCTGTACAGTTTTTTTTTACTAGGCTCATGATTATGTAAATCAATTAATACAAATAAGTGCCAGGAATCCTTGTTTATACAAATTAGTTTTATAAACAAATGATGTTATCTGCTCAGATTCTCGTGTGATTTGTAAATGTGTTACATGCTAATGATGGGTTCTGCCTTATTACAATATTTTCAAGCAATATTTTCAAAGACTCATCCTATTGCTGTTACACTATGTCTACCTCCATAGCTTGTGGGTAGTAAACACATTTAATTATATATTTCTAATTAGACTTCTACTTCTATATCACATTTTTTAAGTATGATAGACAGCATAGAGGAAAGAAATATTTTTTCTTATTTTCTAAATAATTCTCCTAATACATTAGAAAACAAGTAAATAACAAACTGAGTAACTAATTGAATTAATAATGACTGAACTTGTTCTACTAGGTGAATCTGTACATCAATTAATCTAACTTTTGGTAATTTTATAAGCTTTATTTTAATGGGGGCAAAACAATACTTTATTACACTTTTTTTTTACCACAAAAGTAGTCTTAAACATGATTCGGCAACATTAACCACAGCACACAGCATATCTATTATCTCCACCACTATGAGTTTGTACCTCTGTCTATTTAACTGGATGACACCCCAATACAGTCATATCGACCTTTCTTATAAGAAAAGCAATCAAGATAAATAGCTGCTGGTAGGCACAGAAAAATACAGACAAAAACTACAATATATAGTTAGTACTATATACAGCAACAAATTGACATGATTTTTCTAAAAGGCATGAAACAGAGAAACAGAACAAAAATGCAAACAGTAACAACAAGACCTTGAGATGGCTTGACTTGATAATACCTGACAACAAAATGAGTTTGAAATGAAAAACTCCATTGAGGCAAAAAGAAGTGTGAAATACAGAATTACTTACTGCTGCTGGGAATAAGGTCACGATCTGGAATAAAGAGCTTGTAGCCATAGTGTTTTTCCAAGACATCGGGAAGGATTTCTAAGGCAAACTGCTCTTCTTCACTGGTTTCATGATCCAGCGATTCAAGGTCCACTTTGGTGTATGAAAGATACGCATCATATTCTTTATTGTCTGTGGAAGAAAAGGGGCGAATATCAGAGTTAAAAAACAGGGCATTAAATACATAGTAAACGTGCAAAGTAAATGTGTGTGAGATATTTTGTGTTCTTTATGAATGGTATTCTGTTGGTTATCTCCTCTCTCAGTCTCAGGCTTTCTAATGGCTTTTATCATTATTCTATGTATTATTAGGGCAATATAAAAACTTAATAATATACTTTACATTCAGAGCAAGTTAACATCTGTTGTTTGTAATCATACTGAAAAATACAAATGTACTGTTTATAAAATATTACTGGATTTTTCCAGCGGGTAATGAATAATTCTCATAACGTAAAAAAAAACAGGATGCCAAGGTGTAGTATTTTTCTCGAGATCTGTAACAGATACTTTAACTTCTTTATGTAAATCTTTAATAGAATTACAAGCTCCAGGTGCAGTTCTGATTCGCTGCTTGAAGTTGGCATGCGTCCCTCAACTTACCGTCTTCAGTCTCATCACTTCCAAAGTGCCGTCGGTAGCACAGCATGATCTCCACATTATAACACTTGTAGATGGCAGTGAGGAAGCCAAGCAGCAGCAAGATAGCTCCCAAGCCACCTGCAAGTTCCACTCTGTACATATCTAAATCAGAACAACCAAAAAACAAATGATTGTCTCCCTAAAACATAAGCACAAGCCAAAGATGAAAGAGGGTCAATGAAAAGATTTAAACAGGTATTACGCTTTCATGAAACTGTATATGAAGCATGCATTTGTCTACTTTTAGGACTACAAAGTGTTACTGTACATAACAGTTTTGTTTCTCTCACTGATGCATTTTGGATGGATAGGAGAATTCAATTCAAGATAGAGGACTGCCAAGGCTGGGAGATATTTCACACGGAACAATTGCAGTGGTGTGTTCTGAGTGTGAAATTAGAGATACCGTATATCGGGCCTGTATATGGTAGCAGTTTTTGACGGCAAAATTCATGCAACCCCCTTATTTGTAGCTAAATCTGTCCAAATAATGTCTGCACGTAAAAAGAGAGAGAAAATGTCCCTTCCTCTTTTCAAAATACAGTGGTTGAATAACACACACGTACTGCAGGTTAGACTCTTCTGCCATTCAACAAATACCAGCAATCAATCTCATCTTTCGTTGCACAATACATTTTTTTATCTTTGCATTCTCAGCAGTATCCTTCCTACATTACTGTAGAAACCAAGTGTGGCAACTGACAAAGACATACAGTAGTACACTGCTTTCTGAGTTTACATTGTAATAGCCTGTAAAATAAACATATGACAGTTATAAGCTGTGCAATGGTAGAATAATGTCATTTACCTTTTTTTTTGTGTGGAATTTGGTCATTTTTTTATTGCTCTCTAAGACAGGAGGAACACAGCCTCACTTTAACCTCAGTCTATAAGGTCAATAGAAAGTAATGGACTAGAGCACACTGATAGATAACTGAACTGGACAATCTATATACAGTAGTTACGATACAAGGTTTTTCTTATTTTGATAAACTAGGTTTGAATTCTGAGTATTCAGTTCTTGGGAATATAATTGTTTTAGTAATAAAACAGAAGCCAGTCTAGATGGTACAGAATATAGAACATTTATGGAAGCTTTGGGCAAAATTGAATAATTTTCTAATTCTAACACTGTGTTATTTACTTAAAAACATTAAACATTCTGTTTTTTAACATTTATTTAAAGCATAAAGGATGTTCATATTACTTCGATTTAACACAAGGTCTATTATCTTACCACAGATTTCAATCAATAAGCATTTTCTTTTGTTATTAAGGAAAGTGTACATATATTGTATCAAAGAGAAGTGCACCAGGCCGAGAGCAATACAATCAACATAAGCTTTAGTTTTATGCTTTAATATTTCTGCCAGAAGAGGTCTCTAAAGCTTCATCAGGAACCTTGAATGCTTTGTAACAAGAGAAATATTATTTGTACCAAACACAAGTCCCCTGAGGAAAATATTTTTTCTTTTATTTCTTTGCTATTGTATTAAATGGCAATGAAAATGTCAGCATTTATACAGTTACATAAAAATTAACAAATTCACAATTTTTAACAGAAACAGTTCACATTTTCAGATTTCCTATCCTGTTATCGAATATGCTCATCTTTATTACTCTTATGCATAAGCATATAAATTAAATGTTCCAATTTGTTTAATTGTTGTTTTTTTTTTGTAAAGCCAACATGGTACTTGTTTTGAAAGCAAATCAATAGAAAAAAAGTTAGGAGGATGTTCATACTAAATCAGGCTACAATCCTAAGAAAATAAAAGTTTTTTCTTTTAATTTAGAAAATGTACTTCATGTCGTTTAAGAATTTGGTATCATAATCTAGGTTACATCATGATCTAAGCCCTTGTTTTTCCCTTTTCCCTTTTTTCCATATACTGTACCTCACTTTAATAATCTGGTACACAGTTATTAAACACGGACAAATAATGGAAAGGTAGACACGAAAGGCCATGAATAAGTTAATTATATTTGTTTTTGGGATGAATACTAATTAATTCCTTTGGTTTCACACAACTGAGCAGTCTGGTTCTAGTTATATAGTCACAGCTAGCAGTTACAGATAACTTTTTTTGTTTTTATATCAGCGTAACACAGCTACTGTAAATATGATCTGTGACATGGATTTATATACAGTATAGCATATCTTTCAAGGAATACCAATGAAACTTGGTAATTATGGAAATAAATATGAATTACACTGTATTTCTTTCTGTTTCGGGTGGAACCATATAAAGAAATGCCATGCTGATGGGTCCTAATAAGGACAAAGCAAGTTATCCATGGCTGCTAATTGTAACTCTAAATGCATATATTAGAAGTCTTAGACAATTCTGCTTCCTAACTGAAATGGCCCAAGATAACTACAATTAATTTCCATAATTCATAGTGAATACATGTTTTTAAAAAGACACCACAACCCTGGAAAGCTTTTTTTAAAAGATATACAGTCTATACTGTATGTACATAAGTACTTACAGTATGTCTCCTATAGTATTGTAATTGGACAAAGAGCAAATTAATATTCATACCCCAAATTCATTGCATGATTATATCACAGTATAGCTCTAGGACTTATATTAAAGGGTTCAAATCATGAAGCTTTCTTTACTAATGAATAAATGAAATGCCTACAGGGTCACCAGAGTTTACTGAATGAGTTGTTACTCTTGCATGAGGAGAAAGTCATGGTAAAATGATGGCCCTGAGATAATGAATCAGCCATTTTAAGAGGGTAAGAGGGACTTTTTGATTAATATATTTATGATTGTTGCTTCCAAAAGAAATGTGTTTTACTTCTGGGCTTCCTCACTCACTGTGTACAAACAACATGTCTGCTTACTATTTTCTTTAAATGCACTTTTTTTGTCAATAAAATTAGTCATAATCTAGACTGATAGGCATGTCTGCATTGGCTAGGTCAAGCAGTTTAACTCAAATGCTAAGACTACAGCACAAAGAGAGTAGGTCTGATGCTCACTTTCATAGCAAAAGTCTAAATATTACCTAAATAACTTGAATAACCATAACGACACAGCACATTTTCTTTCATTTTCAGTATTCTGTGTTGTTGTTGAGCGAGAAAATGGGAAGAAAAGTACTCTTGCTATTCAGAGACTAGCAATTTGCCATCCCATAATTGACCTTGGAATAGAAAGTAAAAACAAGATTTAGCTGGAACAAAATTATAGGCCAATCTTCCCTCAATTAAATATTCAGTGTATGTTTTATACATTTTCTCAGAAATATTCAGTGGTTCTCTGTATATAAAAAATGTTTGGTTGGTTAACCCAAACTCATGGGCTGTTTTACCAGACAGAATTCTGGGATGTTATGAGGAGTCCCCATCTTGCAATCATATGTTTTCTGAAGAAAAGAGGCCAGAGCACAGGTATTTCTAAATTTGTTTCTCTTCTAGTCACCTGCCCCACATATCATCTACAGAATGCTTACCCAAAGGAGTAGGATGTTCCTTCTAGTCCTCAAAACCCTGAGACACATTGCAGAGACATTTCGCTAAACAAAGTTTACCTTTTTTTTGTAAAATGACACTGCCATGTCTGCGTCCAATATGGTTCTCCACATAGCAGGTATAATTCCCCGTGTCGTTCTCTTCCACTGCATCGAAGGTCAAAGACAGCTCCACCTCTTTTTCCCCCAGGTACTCTTTAAGAACCCTGTTTTAAACATGAGAGTCACAGGATAAAAATCTTTTACCAATAACACAACAACACTGGTCAGCTATTTGACCTGGAAGCGTTCTGCCTTCATAGGCTATTTCACAAAAGTTCCAGGGGTTTGCTGCTGAAGTTAATCTCATTAATCAGAATTTTCCCACAAGTTTCTACCTCCTGTTCCTAATTCTATTAGTATTTTATAAAAAATACTTTTTATTACAGTCAGAGGAAAGTCTCATTTTTCTAAGGACAACTGCAAAAGACAGATTTCCATGTCCATGAACCCTGCACATTCCCAAAGGAGACCTCTTATTCATCTTTATTGCTAGGACAATTCTAGAGCTGTTGGCTCCTCATTGGACAGTTAGGCAGCCAGCAAGAGGATTATATAGTACATACTGTAGTACATTTTATAATTCAAACTCCTTAGTTGGTCTAATTGGCACATTTATTGAATACGGTGGAATAGACAGCTTTTGTTTTTCTTGAATTTAGCCTATTTAAAGAATTATCTGCTCTTAAAAAAACGAACTAAGAGGATTTTAATTAAAAAAAATAAAAAAAGCTCAAAAGAAAGAACACTTCTTGTGTGTTTAGGTCTTTATCTTGCAGTCTTGACAGCGTAATTTCTTCACACAGTACCACATAAAAGCCTTGGTAGTGACCTTTGAAAGCAATCCTTAGCAATTTAGATTTGTTATATTCAGTTTTCATGTAGACGGCGGTTCTTATCAATAATCCACATGCTTGGATAGACTCTGGGAGTCTGCAGAGCACAGTGGCCTATAGGAACTCTACCTTGCACACATGCCACTCAGTGTTACAGCTGCAGATTGATGGCCCTGTTGAATGCTAAGGCCTGACATTGATTTATTGTTTATACAGTGATCACTGGTAGGGAGGTGGAGTGGTAGCAGTGAAATCAAATCTTATCATCTACATTTGTCAGATATGGTTTTGTCAAAGTCAGCGTACTCATTTCCCGTGTTACTTTCCTCAATGGGATGTTTGTTTTGCTAAAAAAAAAAGAAACATGTCAGGCCTTTGATAAAGGATCTCCCATAGGACTCCATCACTTCACTTATAAGAAGTATTGTTTCTGCAGGATTACAAAGATATACCCAGCCTTGATGTTGCTGAGTAATGTGCCAAAGCAAATCATCTAGTATTAATATCCATGTTGTGCTGCTTGAAAAAAAAAAAAGAGGTTTCTATATTCTTGGTGCAATGGCTTTTCTCCAAACTGCTATGGATTACTACTGAGGTGTATAAAGGAAAAGTGTGACTCCTTGGTAGGCATTTGTTCGTCATACAGTATACTGTAGATATTTATATCAATCTGCAAGCGAAAGAATGCCAAACAAAATAATGTAATCAAACAAGAAAGTGAGATGATTACTGAACTGGACATCCAGGGATATTTTTTCCTTTAAGACATTGTTGAATAACCCTATTAATTTGGGTCACTGATATGGCTTGCCATGCTTTTCCAGTATAATTTTCAAACACCCTTGAAAGGTGGCACGTTATTTCTTCTTAAATTACAAGGATTTTCCTGTGAAGGTTTCCTTTTTCTCCTTTCATTCACAGTGGGATTTCTAAATGGAACTTTGTAGTGTTTGCAATACAAGATTCTTTCAATTAAAATATCACTGTATATTAAAACTCAGATTCTTTTGTCAATCAAAAGGGATGATAGATTCCTACGTAGCAACACATTTGTAATATTGATTTTTTTTCCTTTTGCTGTATAAGAATTCAAGAAGTTAAGAAAGATTACAAACAAGTGGAGGCCATTTGGCTATTATTCTGTTTTGTTGCTAGGAGCTAAATCATCTGAGGATCTCATGCAGCCATTTCTTGAAGGAGATTTCCTTCAACAACATGGCTGGCCTTTCCAGACTCTGTACAAAAAAGACACCGCAAAGTCACATTTTAAAATGTGTTTTCACAGAGCTTTCAGTTGCATCCTCTGGTTTGGTTTCACCGTTGATTTGGAAGAAGTACAGTACACTGGTTTGCTTTGTTAATGTCTGAGGGTTTGGAATAGTTGAATCAGGTCCTCTTGTAACCTTTTCTGTTCAAGACTAAAAAGGTTCAGTGCTTTTAGTGTATAACAATTCTTTAATCCCATGAAAATATGTGGTTGCTCTTCTCTGGACTGCCTCCAGAGTTGCAATATCTTTTTTGTAATGTGTAACGAAACATGCAATGTATCATCACGGCGCCTCTGGAAAACACATTACATATTGATAAGACAACTCACAAAGTGAGATTTATAATTGAGAATCATTCATTGAGTGCCGTAGTGGAGCAGTTGTACTGAAATCCATTGTGTACTTTATGACTATGAGATGCAACTCAGTGCCCTGGAGGCGTACAGGCTGTTATTTGTCATTTAATAGGTCTGGTTCAATTTACATGACAGTTTTATGTGGTAATTACTAGCTGTGAAAGTTCTATTTTCATACTGAGGAACATGGACTGAAGAGAGATCAAGGTGTAACTGAAAAGAACTCTATAGTATCCTTTAACATTCAACTTAATTAAGCTGTAGTCTTCCCCAGACCCCTGGTGTCAAAGTGTCACGTTATAAAACAATCTGTATTAAGGCCTCCCTGTGACCCCTTCTTTTCTTAAGCCATGCTCAAGAAACATTTACAGCCTTGTTCCCAAGATACCACATGTATTTTCTTTTTTTGTGGTGTGGCTGAAAGAAAAATTCATATCAGTTCTTCATATCAGTGAAGCTCATAACTTTTTCACCTGATAAGAGTGATTGGCAGTTTAGGAAAACTTCTATCTAGACTATCAATTCATCACATATATATATGCAGTGTTCCACAATAAGAAACTTGGAAATATATGGAGTTTTGCCACAGAAGTCAAATACTGCATGCCTGCACTGCATGTTTTTTCTTGTTCCGGACATTCACTCTTGCTGTAGCACCTACTGTAGTTGTTTTTTTAATACAGACTGTGTTTCTTTTATCCATCACAGATAAATGTATAAATACAAAAATGACTACACAAATCGTGGCACGTTCTCCAGCGCTCCTTTGACTACTATTGTCTACAATTATAAATAAACAGCATTCATGTATTCCATTAGGAGGTCAAAAGTTGAACACAGTGTAATAATGGGAGCTATATTTACTTATCACAATTATTACACGCAGACTTGAATTGAGACCTGACGCCTTACATGTCTCTTTCCTTTACACTCATTGGGCGTGATATTCTTTTAGTTTCTGGGGAAGATAAGAACAGTTCCAAAATCTGTTATCCATTAAAAAATGCCCTTGTGGACTTTCTTCCCATTCCCCCAAAATTTTAGCTTTCAACTTTAAAATTGCTATAGAAATCTCTGTTCTCCTTCTTCCCCAGAGGTATAAACATTCTCCAGTGGTACCTGACTTCGGTCTCCCTTATGTGACCCTCCAGCTCCTCGACAAATTTCTCTCCTTTCATCCAGTAGATTATTGGCTTGGATTCTCCGCTGTATCCAAAGAATGCCCTGCAGTCTAGGCTGAAAGGCATACCTTTTTGAAAGAAAAGACAAAACAGCACTCATACTACATTCTTCTTAGGTAGCTCCAGCATAATTTGCAAAAATTCTTAAAAGAACATAAATACTGTACATGCTGTCTATTACAAGAGAACTTGATTTTATGAAAGCAAGGCATTCCTTTCTGGGCACTTAAATTCTGCATGTTAAAAGCTTATACAGTAAAAGACTTTTACCCTTTGATATTCTCTGATACTGATTCACATTAATGTAAAATTAATGCAAATTTTAAATTAAAAACAAATTGCCTTAAAAAATGTTACACCAAACAAGAAGTATCATGAGTAACAATAAGATATTTTGTAAACCTCAGAACCTACTGCATAAGGATTTCAGCAAAAGATGTTGTCTTCTTAATGATCAAATTTAATAGAAAATAATCTAAAAACAATGCTATACCCTTGTATAACTTTTATGTATTCTTACTCTACACTATGTGAATTAATAAGAATAAAGCTACTTTTTTAGATCTGAAAATGGGCTTGAAATGCATTTAAACATGTAGAAAAAAGCTTTGTCTTTGGTGGTAAAGTACTCTACAATAAGGAAAACTACAATATGTTCACCTACTTTGACAGCTGGAATTTCATTTTTATGTAAAAAGTCCTGTCTCTTAATATACATCTATTAACAATACTTTAGACTTTTCAACAGTTATAATAATATAAATAGGATTATGTTTGAAGTTCTATGAGATAAAATATTTCATTTCACTAAAAAATGAAGTTGGATTTGAAGAAAATCCCAGAAATAGGGAGTAAATATGAGCCCAGGAGATTTTCTTCTAATGAGGAGTACCATCATTTGTGGAACTGTGGCAATGCTCAGTATAATGTAGAAGGAAACAGATTAAAGGTTATATTATGGAAATCAAAATTTTGAAATTGGCAGTCTCTAAAGCTGCTAATTTGTTATACATGCAGAATTGAAAATGATGGAGTGTTTAATATTTATTATTTTATGATCATTGTTACATATTGCATAATTTTCATGAATTCAAAAGGTGTTTTTATATTATACATAAATATCTTTCTTCGGCCATTGATTAAGCTAAAACAAAGTTTGGGTTAAAATTTTGGTTACTTTGCTATTGAAATGATCCCAGAATTATATACTCTGCTGTTTTTAAATAATTCACAAAAGCAAACAAAATATATCATACAACCAAAAAGATCTGTGTTGCTCAAAACATCTTTGAGGCTTTGAAGAAAAAAGCTTTGAAGAAAAATATCTTAATAATGTGGTTAATGATTCATAGTATTTTTAAATTGTCACACTCACAAATGTGATGTGAGAATCTATGTATTTTATTATAGTTTTTAAGGATGTCGTTTGTTTGTCTTTTTGGCCTTTAATACCTTTGTAAGTGATTTCATACTTGGGAAAAAAAACGTTAACATATACGATACAGATATTTTGTTGGATGGTGATATCCTTCTGCTTAAATACAAAACATACCGTACAATATAAAACAAAGGAAATGAATGGGAAACAACTGACAGATCATAGTTTTTTGTTTGATTGCTTTGTCCATAAAAATAAACTAAAAAATAAAATTATTTTTAAAAAATTCAATAAAACTCTCATCATGAAATTTGATACTAATATTTACATTTTCTTTGTTCTGAAGAACACTTTAATAGTGCAGCATCTATAAAGGAAAAAGGAAACTGCGTCACTGAAACAACCACACTGGGTCATGCAGAATGGACATAAAGCCAGAAATAATGTATTTATCAGTGTGAATCACAGTCTACTTAAACAGCAAAAGCCTCTTCTTAAAGAGCGTAGGAATTCACCCTTGAAATAGTTATTTTAAGGATAGTGGGCTTGTAGATTACATAATATGAATATATTAGATTAAATATTCCAAACATTTATCAAGACAGTATGTGTAAAAAAAAAATCACATATAAAGTAATATGTCAAGATATGCTTTATCTCTTAAATTTAGCCTTAATTACCAAAAACAGTTATCCCCTAAATATCTTGCTACCACCATTGCCTAAGCAGAATACTGTACAACAGAAAGCCCTGTTAATGTACGAGAATAGATTGTTACTGGGCGAGATGCCTAGAAATGCTTGTAAATGGAGCATTTCTAACGCACTTAGAAAGAGTTGATGATTATAATAACTGAAACATGCTGTAAACATTAGCAAATCCTCTGGGCTCTAATCAATTACTGTAAAACAAAATGCACAGTAATTACTAAAACATTCTTGCCGTTTAAAGCTGGGTCAGCTAGCAAGATCTTTCCATTGCGGTGTGTGCCTACATTTTGAACTCTCACAAATCTTATTCTCTCTTCCTCCCGACAGGGTTAAGCCTGTAGGCTCTTGCAGGTCTCAGCAGGCACAACACAACACTGAAGCGAGAAAAGACACTATAAAAGGAAACGTTGCGGGCATGCATTTAACTGCGTCTGCAGTTGGTGGCTGGGCACAAAGATTTTCTCAGGTGTTATCAATTGCTTCTCCGAGGTCACCTTGTCACTCTGCTATCTCAAAAGAAGACTGCTTAAGAAAACCTCAGTCTTTTTTTTTCAGTTACTGTTATTTCCTTTAATTTAACAAGCCAACTGATTTTTGGACCTTACCATTACAGACAATCAAGATTGCAAAAAAATAGGAAAAGTGTTGCAGAACAGTGGCAGCCAAATTGCCATCAAAATATGTGTAAAAAAAGACAATCTATCTCATGTTTGCCGATTGCTAACTGAAGCTAAAGCCTTATCTTCTACTTTGCAGCATGCTCTCGGATGACATTCTTAAGCCTATTAAACGCATTCCCCACTAATCATTTTTTTTACAACAAATGGAGTCAGCTATATAAGTATTATTGTTCTGTTTTATTTTTAACTATACAGTATCATGCAAAGCATAATGTAGGTGATATTTTGAAAATTAATTTCTTTACATCTGCATTTGTTTTTTTATGGTGATGGTTTGAATAATGAAATACCGTAGAGACAGAAAGACACAAGAACTGCAAATCATAAGAAATCAGAAATCACATAAATACTGGAATACAAAAGTCATCCGCCCTTAGCTGTTATATGGAGTTCATAATTGAAGTTTGGGAGGGATGACGACAAGTCACTTTCACTAAATCATAATCGTTCCTGATGTCATTCACTGAAAGCTATAGACCATAAGCAAATCTCTTTTCTACATCCCTCCTCCACTGCAAGTCCACCTTTGCAGCTACCTGTTGGTTAACACCTCACTCTGTATGGGGGTCCCAGCCTCCTCAGCCAAGAGCAGTAAACCAAATTTAGCCAGCAGGTTTATCACCCAGCCAGTACTTGAATGCGAGACCTCCTGGGAACACTAAGTTTGCAGCTGGAAGGGGGTGTCTAATGCCCCTGTATAGTGATGGGGACACTGTAAAAAAAGGCTCCGTCCATTGGATGAGAAGTAAACCCAAGTTCCCAACTATCCATGGTCATTAAAAATCCCAGGGCATATCTCGAAAAGAGTAGGGGTGCTACTCATTCCCCCTGGCCTTTACCAATCATTGCCTCCTAATAATCCCCATCTATGAATTGACTTCATTACTCCGTTCTCCCCCTCACTGATAGCTGGTATGTGGGGAGTGGACTGGGGCGTCATCCGGGTGGGGACCCCACATTGGTGATGATGAAGGGGCGTCCCCATTACCTGTAAAGGTCTTTTGATGTGGAGTGTCCAGAAAAGTACTGTATAATTGTAGTGAATTATTATATTATTAAATCTGATTATATGTACAGTAAGTATCCACTAAACATTCTCAAATACATCTAATTCTTGGGTGTCAGCATTCCTTATAAATGGAAAATATAGAACAAAAATGGTTTCATGGACCAACATATGATGCTACACATGGAACCATATGCATTTATATATACAGACACACATATTATTCTACACATATACTGTAATTATAGATGTGCAAACAGCAAAAAACATTTCAGATCTGGATTTGAGCAACGTACCAATTCTGTTTGCTTACTTGCATAGTACCTGTGGCTTACTATTAGTCCATTCACTACCGAGGAAACAATGTTCTCCTTTCATTAGAAAGATTTCTTACCAGTATAATGGTAACCTACTGTAGCCTTTCTCAGAGGAAAGAGGTAAAAGTGGGCAGGCAATCTGTTCAGGGCCAGCTGCAAGGCTTGGCTTGCAAACCAAGAGTACCAGTGAAGAAGCATGTAGAAGTACAGTATACAGTATATTACCCAGAACCTAGTTCCTCTCCTCATTCCTCATCATTTGGAAGGAAAGTGTGGGGTCAAGTCTTAAACTGTAGAAGAACACATTGTAAGGAAATGCCTCAGAAAAAAAGAGGAGGCGGAGGGGGGTG